TCCTGCTTGGGTCTCCTGCCTTGTGATAAGGCATTGGTGCCCAAGGGTCACGACCTCTACAGTTGGGTTAATGGTCATGTTATTCCCCTTGACCCCCACCTCCTTGTGGAGTCAGGTTTTAGTCTCGTGAGGCCTCCTTTCCAGGTTTTCTATTCTTGTCCTCCATCACCACCAGGGAGGCCCCTGACATGTGTATTCTTTAAAAGCATGCTGGGGGATTCTGATTCTCCCCTCCCCTCAGGCATGATATAGGTGCTCAAGATCAAGGAGAATACAAGATCTTTCACAGCAGGAACAGACTTTCCAAACCCCAAATGCATCAATTTAGGCAAAATAGAAGAACAAAAAGATACTATGAAGAAGTTGTGAGGAAACGTGAAAGCGCAAGCTAGAAATATGGATTTGGGACGTTCAGTATAGATCTTTGACCCCTAATCTGCCTAGCTCTGATTGTGTGTCTCCTATAAAGCCTGCCAACATTATTCATTCTCTATCCCATCTCCCTGCCTGGGCTGCCAGCTCCCAGAGGGCTGGGTTGCATCTTGCTCTTTCCACCCATCTAGTACTGGGTGTCATGCCTGCATGTTGCAACTTTCAGGGAGTGACATTGTGTCCGTAATGTGCACATGGATATCTTCATCAGGTTGTTCTAGAAGCACCAAAACTCAACGTGACTGAAGTTTGATCTTTTTAATCTAGGTTCGCTCAAACTTTTGCTTTCTTTCTTTCTTTCTTTTTTTTTTTTTTTTTAAAGATTTATTTATTTAAGCATACAAGAACCAGAGTACAGGCCAGAGGTGGAGGTGATAAGAGGATTCATAAGAGTGGGGAGCAGAACAGGCAGAGTGATTGAAATACACTGCTGAGGGGAGCAGCGGGTGAGTCAGGAGAGGTCTCCTGTGCCATGTGGGTAGCTCCCTGGCTGGGGATCGAACTCGTGCTGCAGTGGCTGTGGACGGCTTCATAGGTTGCATCTTAACCCCTTGCGCCACCAGGGAGGCCTCGACCTTTTGCTTTCATTTCTGTATTGACTGGTGGAATCCAGCCACCATGTCATCCTGTCTTCATACTAGTTGACAGCTCAGTAGTCTCTCACTTTTTCCATCTTAAACTTGTTTGTTTCCTGCTATATTATGCTCTTCTCATTTTCTTCTACCTTTCTGACTGCTCTTCCCCTCTGTTCAAGTTTCACACATCTCCAGGACTCTTGGTCCTTTTCTTATTTTTTGAACGTCCTCAATTACCTCACCTACTGCACAATTTCCAGTCCATCCATGTCCCAACACCTCTTAGATCTCTAGCCCCAGCCATGATCTGTACAGATGTAGATTGACCCACCTCCTAGACCCCTGTCATGGAGACTAAGAGTATAAAATTTAGGGTGGAACCTTCAAAAGACCAGAAACTGGAGGCGGGGGTAGGAATGATTAATATAGTTGTGAAACCAACTACAGACATGAAAAATCCTTAGGTGCCAACTGCTATAGCAAGTATCAAACCCAAGGTGCAAACCAGAAGTGGGGATATGGAGATTGAGGCCACTGCGGAAAATCCTGGCTCCTTACAAATCAACCTTGTCACTCCTTGGCAGTAACTAATTTAACAACAGGAAACAATTCCACAAAAGGAATGAACTCCTCCCAAAGAGAAGAAAACTATATTAGTGCTATTTCTGCATTTGCAAAAAGCAGCTCTCCTGCTGCCTATGACAATGCAGGTGTTTCTTGAAACAACCTTTTCCCTTTGCAATGGGAGCAGCAGCTCCTCCCAAGCTTGCCCGCCTGTGTTGATGCAGGCAGCTCTTTTAACAAACCTGTCCCTTTCAGGGGCAGCTCTTTCTGCCTGCTTATGTCTGTGCAAGCGTCCTTTACTTTCTTTTCATTTTTTATAATAAACCTGCCCTTTTGGATATAACTAAACATCTTGGCCTCACGGGGAAACTCGTTGCATGCCTCTGACAAGAGGGGCTCTGGTGAGACTTTGCTCAGAGGTAACCCAAGGGCCAACATCTGAAATGGAACATATCCAAAGAGGAATTTGCCTTCTTTCACTGCCTCCCAGCACAGTGAAGAGGAGTAAATTTTCAATTGTTCCAGCCAGAGGATCTGAAGGCATCTTTCACACCTCACTCATTTCCACTACCCATACCCAGCCCAGATCAGGACACCTGTGCCCTGAGCTTTCTGTGGGGTCAAGACAGCAGGAAGGGCCATGGAGTTGGCCAAGTAATCCTGGGGGTCAGATTGGAGGAGGCAGGGTACAGCAGGAAGTAGGTGTGGTGTGCTGAGCTCACTTAGGAAAAGGACTTATGAGATGTAGGAATGTCTAAGTTGGACTTTCAGCTATTAGGTGATATGCTGTATTCCTCTTACTCCCCCTAACCCTGAAACTCTACCCCAACTTCTGTCAACTTGTGCCTGTCCAGCAGCCCTTCTTAGGAGTAGTGATCTCTGTGCTATAAGTGAAGATGGTGAAGGGGCTGCATTTTCTGTCTGATTGATGTTTAAAACAGAGGGCCAAAAAGGAAGTAAAGACAAGAAACTATTGATGACCATAATACAAATTTGCCAGCTTTTGGAAAGGGCTTTGGGCTTCACAGAAAATAAGATTGGAGGTTTGAACCAGTGTAAATTTAAACTCAGGTTTTGAGAGCCATGGAGCCCCCCTCTAATCACAGGTTACAATAGGATTTTCCTCGACTGGGGAGGATCAGGGACAACCACAAGGAGGTGACATTTGAGCTGAGCCTCCCTAAAGGACAGGTAGGGCTTTTCAAAGTCAGGGAGGCAGACCAGAGGACTGAATATACTATGGGAAGATACAGAGTTAAGAAAGGGACTAATTTTTATGGTCTATCACCCATAAATCACGAAAGGGTAAATTGGGCCCTGCCAAAAGCTGTGATCAGAATTTCCAGATGATTACAGTACAGCTTGGCCAATGTCTGGAACAGGCTTTCCAACTGCATTTACATCTGTCTGCTTTAGCAATAGCCAAGATGTCCATTCCCCCTGCAATCAAAAGACAGAGTGGATCCCAGGAGTTAGAATCCTAACTGCTTTAAGTCAAGAAGGGGTGACTTACCCCTTTGTCATCAGGTGGTTCAATTCAACATTCCTCGGGCACTGAGCTGACAGCTTGCCAGGTGACATCAGCAGACTGTTGTACCTCACATAATCAGCATTTCAACAACCCAGGGTCACTGGGAAAAATTGCTCCTGGACATGGAGAAGACAATAACAATCTCATTTAAAGGCAAAGAAGAATCTGCATTCTACCAGACTGAGAACAGCAATCCACTCTTAACCAGGATGATTCTACAAAGACCCAGATTACAAACATGTGGAATTGCTGACTCTTGGAGTCTGTTCTCAGTAGAATATTCATTACACGTGGTCTATGTTCATGAGGGCAAAGAACACTGCCTGTCTTTTCCCTTTTAAAGATCAGCTTCTTCAACGATGAAAATCTTTTTTGGATTTCCCAGCTGGTTTGCCATGATGCAAATAAAGTAGCAGGGAAGAATAAATCAGAAAGGACAGACTTGGAAGTGCAAATTATTGTCATTACCAGGAAACAGGAAGGGCATGTTGAAGATAGAAGTACAATAGAAAACACCACCACCACTGCCTGCAAATAGCCCTTTCATCTCCAATTAAATAATTACCAGATGGCTCAGAGCATGAGGACAGGACAGCAGTTACACAATTTTTCATCCCATCACCTCACCACATAACCCCTCACAGCTGTGACACACCATGGCCAGTGAAGCTCACATACTCCACAGCATGTGGAGAAGACAGTGGCTCTGTCATGGCTGACAGTCTTGAGGTTGTCAGCTCTCAGTCTTGTCTCTCCTCAAGCCTCCTTGAGCAAACAGGTTACCACCAAGGGGACCACTATGGGCTTCAATCCTTCATGGGGCCCTCTGAGGGACTCTGTGGAACCTTACTTCTCAAAGTGTGGCCAGCAGCACAGGCATCACCTAGGAGCCAGTCAGCCCAGCCCCTTTGTAAGCCACATCCTAGACCTGAGCGTTGATGTTAGAGAATGGCCTTAAATCTTTCATCTTTTATCAAGCATAACAATTTTAACATAAAACTTATTTTTCTACATTTTAGGATGTAGTTCTACCAAACAAATCCTTTTGAATACCTCCTTTGAGGGTTCCAATATTTAAACTAGATATTGAAGTTTTCTGGCCTCTAGAAAGCTCTTTAAAATGCAACTCCATGTACCTGCACTTTATCATAATTATAGCTCAGTTGTAGAGACAGAAGGCTCATGCAACCAACTGTTCTGTAAAATGCAAATTTTATAAGGGGAATACTTCCCCTGGGAGAAAACACAGCGGCTGTCATGTGAGAAGTTACTTTTAAAGGAACACGCCAAATGTCTCCGTTGCTTTAATGTTTTATCAAAATTTCAATGAATAGAGAATCCTTTGTAAAAGATTAATGCACACACGTTAAGAGAAACAGAGATAGGCTCCTAAAAATGTATCAAAAGTCTCATAAAAATTGTGAAATGTCAAAAAGAAGTTCCTTAATAGTTTGATTCTATATCCCTTTTATTGGCATGTAACTTGACGTTCAATAGTCCCTTCTCTTCATTTCACTCCTGATACAAGGGTTAATCTAAGGTGGGGAAACTACTATTTTAGTTAATGTACCAATTAGCTATTGCTGCATAGTAAGCCACCCCAAGGCTCAGTGGTTTAAAAGAGCAAGGATTTATTTCTGCTCATATATCTACAAGGGCGGCTGACTGGGAGGTTCTTCTGATCTTGGTTGGCTCAGCTGAGAGGGATGAGGATGCGTCAGAGGCTGACAGGAGAACGTTCCATTTTGTGGCTTTGCTTCCCATTTCTTTCAGATTGGAGAGTTAACTTCTTCCCCCATCTCCTCTTCACGCTCAGTTTTCCTCAACCAAAAACAAATCACACACCCACAAACATTATTTTCAGAAATGACTTTTACTTCTTTATCATTTCTCTTGACAGTATCTTGGCAAAGTGCGTATGACATGAAGGCAAGCATAACTTTCAGAAGTCATCAAAGATAGGGTGCTATTGTCCTCATTTTCTTAAACCATTAAAATATTTTCATTTATAAAAATTAATCTAAATATAAATATTGACACTGAAGATCAAAATCACTTGATGACAAAATAATTCTTCTGGAACTATAACATATGCTTATGGTTTTGAATAGTAAATTAAATCTTTACACTTATTTGGCACAGGAAACCTTATAAAAATTCAAATGCCACAGAGCAGGCCTCTTCTTTTTTTTGCAAGGCTTACACAGTACACATCCTTTTTTGTTGAAGAAAACTGAGTATTTTTTAACAATATAACACAACAATAGTTGCTTTTCATGCCTCTTAATGAAAATGTTCTATTTGGAACTCAGGTCTTTTTTTGTTGTTGTGTTTTTAAAACTTGTATTTGTCTCCTTTGAACCACACCAACAGAACAAAAAGCCAAAGATTTACTTTATTTCAAAGGAGCTGTTTCCAGTGGATAACACATATACAGCTCAGCAAGGAGTATTGTTGTGAGGTGGGGAGACCCCCATCAGGAACAGATCCTAACACACATTTCAGCAGCAAGTCAGGTCTGGAAATGTGCAGGACAGCAAAAAACATAGAAGCTGAAAAAACACCACGTGAGGTTTTGTGATATGTTCTGATCATATCCTTGGCTTCAAGGTGTGATGTTGGTAAATTAATCTCTCTGGCCCTCAGTTTCCAAATATGGAAAATGGGGGTACCAGCAGACTAAGGTTGTTATAAGGATTGAAGTAAGAGGAAGATGGCCTCCTTCAGGGTGGCCACTTAATCAACATAGTCATACTGTTTCCGTCTTTTGCTTTCTTCCTCAGATTCAAAGTATATCAAGAACAAAACAAAAAAAAAAGATTGCTAATAATGCTCAATTGTGTGAAATTCCACTTGCATTCGCTTTTATACACACACTCAAAATAGTCACGCATTTGAGACCACAAATGCAGAGTTAGTGATGACTCTTGTGTCCATTCAATTTGGCGCCTCTTTCCTTTTTTTCTCATACCTGTAAGTTTGCTAAGGTTGTTCCTTAACCATTTTTCATCTTTAAGATCACTTTCCTACTTTTGCTGAATCATTACTGGCAAGTGAATTTTGGAGGTTAACATTTTATCATGTGGTTATAATCGGCAATAACCAGTCACCTAAGCCTCATGTAGATGGGCTCATTGCTAAACCACATCCTGTTGATTCTGGACAGTGCCCTAAATTAAGCCAATGGTGGGCCTTCTCAAGTCCCCACCCCCCACCCCCTTGTGAGGGGAAACTTCCAGTCAGTCCAAGGAAGGACCCTAAATTCTCAATGAGACAATGTCTCAGATAGACCTGGACACGGCATGAGTGAGCCAGAGCTTTCCACTCTGTGGCTTGTGATTGCAAAGCAATGACCATGACTGGGAGCTGGGGTGGGGGGTGGGGGGTAGGGGCTGCTTAGAGGTTTAGGAGCTTAGCAGGAAGGAGGTGACTGAAGTGAGTTTGCATTCCTGATGGTTGCGTGTCCCCAAATTACACAGTCCCCAGTGCTCCCTACAGGGAACAGCTCACCTTTTCCCTTAGCAACTGCAAGACACATGCTTGTGAGAGATTAAATAAGACTTGATGATGAATTACGTAATAATAATCATCTCCCTTCCCTCCACCACCCGTCCACCCCAGCAATTTTTCCTTTGGTCAACCTGTTGACAGTTAAATTCTCGTTGGATCAAAGGATTAAAAAATAAAAGATCTTAAAGACAACACTCAGGGGCAAAGCCAAGAGGGGCAGGGTGCATCTTTTGAACGTGGAGCTCTGCTGTTGGAAGCCAGCATCTTGGTTTTCTTTTCTGTCTTGGATTCCCTGGGAGCCTAAGGCAGAGTGGGCAAGACTGCAGTGCCGAAGTCTGGACTGCTTTCTGGGTGAGGTATCAGGGCAGCCCTGTGCAAGGACATGTGGCGGCCCCCCAGGCCCTGCCCTCAGGGGAAATCCATACAATATTCAATGGCTGTTGGGTCAAGGCACTGTCGTGTTCGGCCGGAGGCAGTGGGTCACTGGCAGTGGAGGTCCATGGTGTTAATACATCACAGCCGACTCCAGGGTGGGATCCTGAGGACAGACAAGGGGCGCACTGACATCAGCCACTTGGCCAAAGGGAGCAGAGATGATTACGAAATGCTTTTTATATCCTGAAGGTATTCATGCTCACTGACCCGTTAAATATTTCATAATGGTTAAAAAACAATGCATTTTTAACATGTATTTCTTCATCCATCTGAAATTTATTTTGGTATATAGAATAAGACAAGTTGGTTCCCTTTCAACTACCACTTTCTGAGCCAACTTGGCCAATTTATGGAGCACATTTATTTTTTAAAGTTTTTAAAATCATCTATACCTTCTCTACCAATTCCTAATGCTTAATATATTCATATATACATATTTATAAAACACATATTCACACATCTATTTCTGAGCTTTCTAGTCTATTTTATTAATTTTTTTTACAGCTTTTAATTTGTCTTAAAATCCGGAAGGAAAATAAATTCCATTTTGAAAAATGCTTTTGTCCATTCTTTCTGATTTATTTTACCTTAACTTTGTAAAATCATCCAAAAGGAGAACATAAATACTGGATGGTGTCACTTATATGTGGAATATAGAAAAACCAAACACAGGGTCCAAGTCAAACTTTTAAACCAACCCTTGAAAGCTGATGTTAGATCTCAGGCATCCAGGAGGCTTGAAAAGGGGGTACTGGGGGAGAGAGCACAGTGGACTATGGTGGAGGACTGTGGGTACTTTGTTGGTGGGACAGTTACCCGGCCACCCTGAGGGGCCCTATACTGTTAAAGTGCAAACAAGGCTGTAAAACAATGGTACTTCATTAAAATAAAATAAGATAAAACTATTGCATCTTAATACATGCTCAGAGAAAAGTGTTAAAGCTTATTAACATAGTTATCTATGAGGACAGAAAAATTCTAGACATTTCTTAACTGCATTATAACACTGTTTAAGCTTCAGGTAGGTAACACTGAAAAGCAGATGTCTATATGCTACATTAAGTCTACCAATTAAAGTCCAATTCTATCCCTTACCATAAATCATTCATACCATAAATACCACAAGTCTCCTTAATATTGAAAAGAAATAAACCCCATACTTTTTCTCTCTTTGGGCCGCGAACATTTCTATGCAGGATATGACATAAGGATGTTAGAGGGGGTGTAGCAGCTGCATGGAAGTTTTAATTCTATCATTTTGACTCACTGTAGTTTATATACATCTCATTTGTTTTGAAATATGTAGCGTTTCTATCTTCTAAAAGCTCTGTGGATTTGCTTTTCACTTTAATTCAATAACTGGAAATACATGTGAGAATGTGCACATATATGTATGTGTGTGTAGTGTGTATGTGGGCACACATGATGCCTTGGTGAGGCTTCTGTTTATTTTAACTTTTGTTCCCATTTTCTAAATTTGTCCTGTTTGGTCTGGTAGTCACTAGCCACATGTGGCTGGTACACTTAGAGTAAGACTAAATAAAATAATAAAAAAAACCCAACAGCCCATATCAAGTGCTCAATAGCCACCTGTGGCTAGTGGCTACCACATTGGGCATTCAGATATAGAATATTTCCATCATTTCAAAACAGTTCTGCTACACAGCTCTGTTTGTGATTGTTTTCGGCACTGGGGTCAGAGAAGCCAGTTCCTTACCTTCCACCTTCCACCCTTTGGAGTTTACTGAGAATTTCTTTGTGAGGGATGTAAAATCGATTTTTGTAAATGATTCACTAATGTTTGTAAAGAAAGTGATAGTATGAAGAAGTTAGATTAATATCTTAACTATAGCTTAATAATTATATATTATTAAAATTCTTTGTGTTTATTTCTGGTATACAGGGGCTTTCAAGGGCTGATAGGGAATTTTAAGTCACAGACCATGGCACAATAAATAGTGTTTCTCTATTGCCTTCTAAATCAAGAAAGGCTCATGGCTCACTTGCTTTATTTTAACAAAATTAAAACATACCCCCACCTACCATGTTTTCTCTGAATGTGTCTTATCTTGAATTCTACTTTGCTTGAAGGTAATATTTCTGCCATTAATTTGTTAAGTGCTGTCCATTCTGTCATTTTTAACCTCTCGTGTTATTTAAAGGTAATTTATTTTTAAAAGTAATTTATGGTGGTATTTAGATAAATAACAATTGAATGTTGGGTATTTTTAAAGTGAGCTGTTCGTGGTGTTGATTGCATCCCAATGTTGTGCGAACACCTCTCCCTAGTTTCCAATCATTCCATCTCCCTGAAGTCAGGCTTCTTACCTACTGAGCAGTATCTTCCTGATTCCTCCTCCCATAGCCCCTGGCAACCATCTTTTCAACACTCTGATTTACAACAGAGTCCTTGGTCTTAGTGGTCAGCCCTATTTTCGTGTGATAATGCACCTTTTTAGCTCTGCAAAGTAGTCACCAAAGCAAGGTAACTGGACTTTGAAAGGGCAGAGGCAATGGCTGATCAGTGGAGAAGAGGCAATGGGCAGCTCCATTGCCATGTGGTGCCTAAGAGATGCCGAGTCTTGTAATTGACAAGGGCATGTCCACCATTATGCCATTACCTGGTGCTTCTGTGCTCTTGAGACAGGGAAGGTGGGTGGGGGGGTGGAGTGGTAGGAAAGGGGGTGAACAGTGGTGCATTCAATCTGGTGAGCACAGACATCACCTTCTCTGAGCTAACGGTCTCAAAAGCAGAGTAGTCTACCCAGACTGCTCATCTAAGCTGCCTCGAGCATTCGCTAAAATTCTGAAGCACAGCCTGGTATTTAGGTCAACAATCCATTAGCCTTCTCTATGTGATCTCCGGTTTGTGCAAATGATCTCCAGCCCTTTCCTTTGTTGCATATAGGGACAAGTGCTGGCTTTTCAGAAACACAAGTGATTAATGGCCAAGAAGACATTCAAGGAAGAGTAAATATGGATCAAAAACAGAATAAAAACTTACACTTTAGCTAGACCTTACACTCCTATGGATGTATTTTTATTTCTCTCATACCAAACCTGGTTCCTATAGGGAGCTGGAGATAGAGTTGAGAGGACATCAATGGGATTAGCAATGCCAGGCAGGATGGTCACCCCCCTCCTCGCCCAGAACTCTCTCCACTGGCCCCTCACCCCAATACCTTGAGACCAGACAGGAAGGGGAGCTCCAGAAAGAAGGGCTACAGAATGGAGGCACCATCTACAATGAAGTGATGAGAATTGAGACAGAGATGACATTTACCATCAAATCCTTGGTGGTGTTCTTCCTTTCTGCAGTCCTGTTTGCTGAGGAGCCTTGGAGAATGAAGTTACGGTTAAATGTTTTAATGGTGGTCACTGAAGATGTCTCAACTTTTTCAGCTAAAAGGAAACAGAAGGAAATAACTGTTACTCAGGAGCTTGATGAATTGTTAAGGAAGAAAGATGCAGTGTCCTGATTACCCAGATTTTTTAGACTTGGCATCTCATCCTATCTGTAAGTCTGACTTGGAATCTTTTAATTTTTTTAAATTTATTTATACAAGAGAACCGGGGTACAGGAGAGGTCTGCCTCGCCATGTGGGACCCTGGTCGCCATGTGGGACCTTCGCCGGCCGGCTGGGATCGAACAGGCGCTTCAGAGGCTGCGGACAGCTTCCCAGTATTGCGTTCAACCGCCTGCGCCACCAGGAGAGGCCCAGGAATCTTTTAATTTTTGTGTTTATTTTTGTAATGGCCAAATAAGTCAAGGCATCTTTGGTGGCTTTCTGGGGGAAAATTGCTTGGATGTAATCCACAGTCCATAAATTTGATTTGCAATTCTGAAATATAAGAGACTCAAAACTGTAATTTTTTTTTTTTTTTTTAACTTTAGAGCCAAAATTGCCTGACTGGCAAAACCTGACTTGAAATGCCATGTGGTCATTTAGAGCCTTAGTGAGTGTGAACAAATTTAATGCTTTGCTGAGAAAATTTAATGCATTTATCAGATGCTGCTGTAGATGCCATGGATGTGTGTGTGCTTTTATGAACTATCTAGTATATGTACCATATTACCTTTCTAACACCCCAGAAATTCTGAAATGCATATAGACTTCAGATTTTCAAATGAAAGACTACGGGACTATAATAAAATTTTAATTGCATAGGGTTTTGTGGAATATAAAGCAGACATTCAATACATACTGAACAGTGAAGGGTGGAACCAAGACTCAAAACACATATTCTGACTTTCTAATTTGTGGATCTAAATCTCTAGTTTGGCACCATCACTATGTGGTCCTTGGGCCGAGGGAAATTGTTGAAAATGTCCAGTAGATAAGAGCGATGTGACTAGTACTGATGGAACTCCTTCTACATTGGACACTGTGGTAGATGTTTTTGGTGCCCCAGCCATATCTTGCTGACAGCCCCACCCACACCTTTCTAGTCCATTCTGACATCATACTACCGCAAGCACAGCCACTCTCTTGACCCATGTATGGAGCAGGTCAGAAGTTCGAGGGAATAATGCTCCCACCCCCGCCCTTCCCAGGAGTCACCTTTGGCCAGTGATAGATGAGACCTGAAATATCTCATTTTCCTGCCCTTTAGGCAGGAAACTCTGTTGTATAGTCAAACTGTGTCCCAGAAGTCCTCATCAGTATTTAGCCTCATTTGCCCAGAGAAGTAAATTACTAATTCAAGTTCCTAGGTTGGCTTAACTTCCCTCAATCATTTTTCTCTCCCCCTCCCAGTGCTTCTTGGAATCACCTCCAAAATAACTATGTGCATGCAGCTCCTTGTCCCAGGGGCTGCTTCTATGCGGGTGGGGGATGAAGGGGGAGGGGTGGGGGTGTGTGTGAATTCAAATCAACTTAGACTTCACTAGAGCAATTGCGGGGGAGAACTCTCCATTAGATCAGTTCTCCAGCTCAGCTCTCTGAGTGGCTCAGAGTAAATGAGGCAGGTTTAATTCTGCGGTCGCTGTGTGTATTTCAAGCAAGTGTACCTTTCGCTGGTGGAGCAGGCAGCTTCCTCCTCTGCTGTCTCGAAGTGTCTATGGTTTGTACCTACAACAGAACATGGCAATCAGCACACCTCCCCAAGGCCAAAGATATCCTGGCTTCTACATTTCCCAGGTAGTGTCCTGTTGCAGCGGAGGGCATAAGGGGAGCACACACCTGGCTCCTTTGCTTCTGGTCCCGTTTTCTTGTGAGGCGCCCGCAGGGTGCTATGTTTAATCCCGCAATGGTCAGGGCTGAAATCCGGCTCTCGATGTCAGAGATCTTAATGCAGCAGAAAGGCAGAATCAGTAGGAGAAATCATAGGAGGGGAGAATCTTTGTTAAAGGACTCTAACAAAATAGAATCTGCCGTGATGTAAGCACATTTGTTCATTTATTCATTCAACTTTACCCAATGCTTCTCCATCTAGGTCTACGATGAAAAAATAAAACAGGCCTTTTTAGGTAAATTTCTATTTCTAGTTGGGAGCTCCAGAGCATACCCACATCGGTGGAGTGGGCTGGGGAGCAATGAGGCCTGAGGCACTGTGAGAACCCTGGCCCAGAGCCACTGGCCCAGCCTGGGGGGTGGTCAGGGTGCTTTCATAGGAGGCAGCACTTGACATAAGCTTTGAAAGTCAAGCACAATGTATAGGTTCTGCTTCCTGCTTTCAAGACTCCACAAATCTAAAACTATAGCACCAGATCTTGGGGGCGGGGGGTGCCCAGCAGCCCCTGGTTCAAGTCCATTTCCTTTATGAAGAAAGAGGCTACATAGCCATGAGAAACTCGCTCCTCTTTCTGGGCGTGTTTCCTTGTTTCTAACAGCAGAATCTCAGATTTCCTTCCAAGCACATCCTCAGGCAGACACAGAGCGCCAGAGCCCACCCAGTGCCTAGAAAGAAGCCTGCACCCCACGCCGGCCTCTGGGATGAAGGCAAGTCCCTGCTCTTAGAAAGCATGTTACTGTCACCATGCCATTAATTTTATTTATTTATTTATTAAAAGATTTATTTATTTATACAAGAACTGGGGTACAGTCAGAGGTGCAGGAGGGTGAGAGAATTCACCAGAGTTGGGAACAGAACAGGCAGACTGACGAAATACACTGCTGAGGGGAGCAGCGGGCGAGTCAGGAGAGGTCTGCTGCGCCTTGTGGGACCCTCACCAGCCAGGCAGGATCGAACCTGTGCTGCAGAGGCTGCGGACAGCTGCACGGTGTGGCGTTCAACTGCCTGTGCCACCAGGGAGGCCCTGCCATTAATTTTATTTAGTAATGTTTTATATATTTATTTGTTTAGGTCTGGTCTTATGTATTTGTAGCTTTTAGAAAATCTCATTTTTGACTGGATTCAGACTCAGAGGAGGAAGCTCTCAAAGAAGACAGCCTCTGCTGCCTGGCAATCTGTCCCTGGTGTTTTCATTTGACATCCTTCATTCTCTTGGTTAAAAATTTACCATCCTCTGCAGTGGCTTCCTTAATTTTCCTGGTTTGCTTCTTCTTCAGCGCAATACATCGACCTTTGTAGACAGAACATGTGAGGTGACAACACATGGGGCCTTGGGGGGTTTGGTCCTGGGGATCTCACTGTCTTTGTTTAGAGGCTTTCCCACAACTTATTGGTGGAATCATCTTTAGAGAGACTGAAAAGTTGTCAGATTCTGCTCGCTCCTCTGGGTCCTGGGCATCAAGGCACAGTAATATCAGTGAGGCTGGGAACAGCCTTCTCCCTTTCTTTACAATGACCAAGTGGAGAACACGCAGCTTGGCATCCACGGTACAACCCCAAACAGAGTTGCCTTCCTTCACCAGCCCCCCTGGCTGCCCCAGGGATGCCCCTTACTCAGCAGCAGGCAAATGCGACCACAGGTCAGGACACCCTGCTTCAAGGGGAAACCCTGCCTGTCTCTTCCACCGCTGATTTGGACATCACCCTTCCATTCTTCACCAGGGCAGCAGAAGCAGCTTCCCTGGCCACATGCGTCTCATAAAAGGTACGAAGTTTGCATTCTCATCCACTTCAATGAGTTTCTGGCAGTTGGTGGCTGAGAAAGAGATGTTCAGCTTCATCCTGAAGCAGCTGACTGCCTCTCAGGTGCCACGACCAAGAGCGTGCTAAGTGTCTTCAACATGAAACCTCACTGAATTAATTCATAATATTATGCAGAGGTGCCATTCTCTTGGTTTTACAGATGAGGTAACTGAGGCATAAATGACATACCTCACATCTCACAGCTGGCCTGGGGCAGACCTTTAGACTTACTGCCAAAGCTTGTGCTCCTGTCATGTGGATATTCGCAGAGGCCTGGCTGAGGACTGGTGGGAGGGGGCTAGCAGTCGGGGGAAGAAGTAGGACCACAGACATCCTCCTGAGATGGCACAGCCTGAGTGTTGCTAGAGCATCACCCAGGAAGTGTGCTCCATTCTGAGACCTCCATCGCCTCCCTACCCTTGATTATTTTGTGCTGCTCAAGACAAATTGCATTTCTGCTGTCATTTGCTTCCTTGGACAAGGCCTACTGGGGTAGGTGCTACAAAAGTCCACAGAGAAGGGCCGAAAAGTCCGATAGCTGCCTCTCTTATCCCCCAGGGCTGGCAGTCTTGGCCAGAAAAGGAGGAGGAGGTAGATGAAGGCCAAGACTGTGGCAGCTGGTGAAAGAATGCAAATTAAGTTGTCTAGTCACTGGCCCAAGGAGGGGCCATTGTGCAGCACTTATCCCTCCCTGGCTCCTGATGCTTCCTTATTCTGACTCCCCAGATTCTAGAGAGTTGCATTCCTTTGGTTTACAGACTAATAAACAGCACAAACCTCTGAGGAAGATTGCAGGCTAAACTTCTATCAGTTATTTACAAGGTGTGGATTAGATGCCCACATTCCCTTCTGGAAGTCATTTTGATGGAGGGCCTTGCTTAGAGGACCCTGGGAGGCAGGTTAATGAGAAAATAAGGTGCTGACCCTCCTGATTTGCTGACTGACATGTTCTGGAACAAGTAGGGGTTAATTTTTCAAGTTTTAGTTCCTCACGTAGAGGATAAAGAAAGAAGAGAGCACTGAGGGTTGTTTTTGCCTATAGTTTCTAATCTATCTCACTTTCACCTATATCATTTATCTATCTATGTATCTATCTATGTATCTATCTATCTATCTATCATCATCTATTATGTAACCTCATCCATCTATCACCTATCTACAATTTCTTCTATCTACCTACTATCTACCTACCTATATATCAACTATCTCATGCATTTATCATTTATTATCCACCTCATCTATCATCCATCCATCCATCCATCCATCCATCCACCTTCCACTTCTTTCCTAAGGTTGCATGCACACTGACTCTATACTTACTAAAAGGGGATGATCAGTTCAGTTCTGAATTTCCCAGGATGTAGAACAGAGAAATCAGTGTAGAACTTTATGTCCACAAGACAAAGACCAAGTTCTGATAAGAATAGTTTTTCCTAATTCTAGCACTTAAGAGCGACTTCCCAGGCACACCCACAGAGATGACCTTGCACAGCAATGCTGTGGGCAGTGTACTTATCATGCCCCCATGGCACACCCTGCAGTCTCCTTCAGCAGTCTCCTCCTGGACAATCCTGTCCAACTCCAAGTTGAAAGCACCCCTAGAATAAGATATAATCTAAGAACACAATTTAACACCTCTCCTCTCCTCAGTGGGGATCCTCCTGCCACCCTGCAGGAAACCCTTGTGACCTCTTCTGTGTGACTCAACTTTGGATGAGAACAGACAGCAGGAGCCCGGGGCTTCATTTTCAGGTAGCATCTGGCAGTACAGGAGAGTCTCTATGCTAAGAGCCACAAAACTGTGATGATCCATAAAGCCGAAGGCAGGGCTCACAACCTCTCAACGAACTAAGGCATCTTTTGCAAGTGGATTGCCCGGTGACAAGACCAACACATTTCTTAGGAAAACACACAACACAGACTGGTGAAGAATGTGGGTTGTGAGGTGAGATAAACTCAGGTTAAAATTCAGGTTCATCACTCTCTACCTGTTGAAACTAGAACTTTAGGCAAGGGTTGAAATTTTCAGTTTTCCTGATACAAAATGGGTATAATAATAACAATAGCTACCTCTTGGGGTTACTAAAAGGATTAAATGCAATAATGAAATCAAATGCTGAGCACGACTTCTAGCATGAAGCAAGGTGCTAATGTTATCACACATTTAAAAAATGAATAATAAATTAATAGACTCATTCAAACACATGAAAAATGGAACTACCCCATTTTGAACTACCCCAGGATTTTCAACCATAAAACGTGGCTCCAATAATTTAAGCTTAAAAATAATTTGGGAGCAGGAAATCATTTTTCTAATAAAACTTTCCCAAACACTACAAACAATATTCCTCCCTACTAAACCTTCAAGAAGTATTTGCTGCAAAATGTACCCCCAGAAAACAAGATATATTTCTCTTTCATATATCTTTGACAAAAATTGATTAAATGTTGGGTGGAATTTATGGAAAATGATCTTTATTTGAGGAGAGTTGCACATCAGCCATTCTTGCTGGTAATAAAGAGTCAGCAGGGCCATCCAAGATGGACTATTCTTAGTATGCAGTATGTAGCCAACCACAGAGTGGAGAAGGGTGCCCTCAAATCTCAAGAGTGCTTAATGATATCAGAAGTTGTAGCTTTTCACTCTTTAAAATATTTATTTAAAAAATGACCACTCAAGATTGCCATCTTCTCTATCCAGAGGTGGCTTCAATTGACCCCAGGTTACAGAGGATGTGGTTTTAAGAAAAAGAGTCTGTCAACATATCAGTGACGCAGGTTGTACACTGAGCTTATGCTGCCAGGACCAATATTTCTCATTGGCCCCTGCGATCATGTCCACAGATTCCAGTTTGCGAATCAGAGGCTGAGTCCATGGTTAATTCTGATCCAGAGTCAGAGGCCACAGGAATACCCATGAAAACTGCAAACTTTGTATCTTCACAAAGTGATAGATAATAGAGTGATCAGCTATGAAACAGTCATTCCAAACCATGCAAAATATTGGTCTAAGAAATGAATACTTCCAACTTCCTTCACTTACTCATCCCATTGTTATTGAGAGGCAGGCCTGAATCAGGTGTTACCACCTGGAGTTACTGTGTTAAGTTAGAGTGTGATAGTCTTGCCTTCATGGAGCATTTAGTCTATAGTGGGGGAAATGGAATTAATTAAGAAATTAATAGTGTGATGAGGGCTAGGAAAGGGTGGTCTTGGATTAGAGTGGGAACCAATATAGTAAGGAGACCTACTTATGAGTTAGAGAATTTGTCAAGGAGGAAAGCGGTATAGGTATAGGTTAAAGAGAAGTCCAGTATATTATCAAGGTTATAATTTGGGGAGATAGAGCTATACTTTTTAAAAGAAGGATTTGGTGGAATCTACCTGAATGGATCATATATAGATCTTATTTGACTCATCATGGGATTACATCCTGATAAGTTGGAAATATAAGTTAAAAATCTGCCTAACCTACTGAACACTGAAGCTTAGCCCAGGCTACCTTAAATGTTCTCAGAGCACTTACATTAGCCTACAGTTGGGCAGAATCATCTAATGCAAAGCCTATTTTATAATAAGGTATTGAATATCTTCTGTAATTTACAAATACTGTACTGAAAGTGAGAAGCTCTGCAGAGTATGGGTTGTTTACCATCACAATCACCTGCCCAGCATCAGACACACGAGAGAGTATCGTGGTGCATATTGCTAGCCCAAGAAAAACTCAAAACTCAAAACTCGAAGTACGGTTTCTACCGAATGCATCTCGATTTTGCACCATCATAAAGTGGAAAAATCATAAATCAAATTCTCATAAATCAGGGATCATCCGTACATGCAAGTGAGCTGGCAATGGCTGTGATGGACAGATAGAAAGGCATGAACACTTCTTGTGAAAGATAGGGTGTCCCTTCCTTTTCTCCATCTGGGCAAAGAGGGGACTTTGTACCTGGAGCTCAGCATGGTGGACCTGGGCTGCGGCCGTGGCCACCTGGTCCTCTAGATCCGCCAGATGGGTCTCATCTGTGCCGCTGTGGATGCAGCGGGCGGCGTCCTCCAACTCAGTCAGCTGGCCTTCCAGTCCATACACGGTGCCCGCTGCCAGGTATACCTGCAGGGGAGGCATAGCTTTGAGATCAGGTCTGCTGACACAAGACTGGGAGGTGGGGCTTTCAGGAGACCCTTATATTTCAGGGATGAGAGAGAACTATGCTCAACAATGGGAGAAAAGACAGGTAACTCCCCCATTTATAAACATTCTACTCACTTAAATGGAACACAAGGTCTACTGTCCCCCTCACTGTCAACCATACCTCCCCCCATCATTCCTGCAAGAAAAGGGAATTTTAAAGTCTTTTTTAAAGATTTATTTATTTATGCATACAAGAACTGGGGTACAGGTCAGGTGTGGAGGGTGAGAGGATTCACCAGAGACAGAGCGGGGAGCAGAACAGGCAGACTGACTGAAATACACTGCTGAGGGGAGCAGTGGGCAAGTCAGTAGAGGTCTGCTGCGCCATGTGGGTCTCTCCCTGGCCAGCCAGGGATCGAACTCATGCTGCAGAGGCTGCAATAGCTTCATATTGCTGTGCTTAATCCTTTGTGTACCTCGGACATGATCCTAGGGAGGCCCTTAAGTTTTGAAAATAACCCAAGATACATAAATTGCAAATTTTTCTGGTGACTATAACAGCCATAATATCAAGATAGAAGGCACAAAGAGGAAAAATTCATGATGTGGTTTTTCCAGTGAAAATTTTGGTTGGCATTCAATAATTGAGAAAAATTCAGAAGATGTGGGAGAGGGGAAATTAATTTAAATACAATTATAAATTTGTGGCATAATATCACTAATCAATTACCTTCAGTTTGCTTGAACCAGGTTAAGGGAATTCATATGAACTTGAAATCTGTAGTAGGAAAACACAGTTGTCCCATAGTATCTGCAGGGGGCTTGTTTCAGGGTCCCGGTTTCCTTTATTTTTTTTTCCTTTATTTTTTTTTTATACAAGAACCGGGGTACAGGCCAGATGCACGGGAGGGTGAGAGGATTCACCAGAGACAGAGTGGGGAACAGAACAGGCAGACTGACGAAACACACTGCTGAGGGGAGCAGTGGGCATGACAGGAGAGGTCTGTCGTGCCATGTGGGACCCTCACCAGCCGGTGGGGATCGAACCAGCACTGCAGAGGCTGCGGACAGCTTCACAGCACTGTGCTCAACCACCTGCGCCACCAGGGGAAGCCCTCAGGGTCCCTGTTTTCAAAGCCAAAATCTAAGGGTGCTTATGGCCTTTATAGTCCAGAATTGGCTGAATTCACGAACCCATGGATATGGAGGGCCAACTGTTTCAATTTGAAAAAATCCATTAAATGGACTGGCAAAGTTCAAATACATATTGTTCAAGGGTCACCTATATTGCATTTCTTAGGAAATAGTGTGATGTTAAGAGAAGCAAAAATTGATGTTATCAGTGAATTAAGATGGTTTTTGAAATTAAATAGAAAGTTAGATAAAGGGAAAAAATAAAGGAAAATATTTTGATTTGCAAGTTTATAAAGTGGTTTCTAGAAAAGTGAACCAAGAGAATGTAAAATCTTTGGAATAATTCAGACCGAGGGTTGCCAACCAGGGCAAATGAAATAAATTCATTTTCAGCCTAATAATGTGATGAAGCAACTGGCAACAGAGGAGAGGAGATGGATCTAAAAAGGTAACTATTTAAAGAGGTTTATGAGGTTTAATCAATGTATATAAAGTTCTAAACACGTAATTCCAGCAACTTAGAGTAGACTTGAATGAAATGCATGGTCAATCTTTAGCAGGTCCTTTGACAAGTTAAAAATACACCAGCGCTGGGCCAGCCAAGAGCTTGTGCACATAAGGCAGGCACATCTTTTGCACAGAGCGATGCTGAGTGTTGCTGAGGATGAGAAAGAACTCCAAACCGCTCTTGCTCTGTCAATTCCTTGGCATGATTCATGCATCTGCATTTCAACTGACAATTTCACAAAACATTTCAAAGTGGGGAGCAAAGGCAGGTGCAGGTTTGGTGGAAGCAAGTCTGACTGTGCATTCCCAGGCAAAATTAGTTGGCTGTGGGGGCTGCCAGCAGTGACTGGTGCTGCGGACATCATGCTAAATGATTTGTGAGTCATATACAGGGCTGGGGATCATATATCTTTGGGTAACTGCCATATTTCACTTTGCCCTCAGTTTTACGTTTATCATCTACATGCAGTGATAGAGAACATCTGTTTAATTTAGCCATTTATTCTTTGTCCTCACAACAAGAAATGTTTCTTTATTGTTTATCATATGAAAGAAACAATGAATTCTATTGAAGAGAAACCATTAAAAATTGTCTTAAAATTATTGATCCTGAAAAACCTCTTATCAGAGGGGAAGACAAATAAAGGCAAGAAAGAGAAAGAGAGGGAGAGAAAGAAGAGAGAGGGAGGAAGGGAGAGAGAGAAAGAAGGAAGAAGAAATATCAAAGAAGAGAGATTCAGGGAAGTTATGAGCTTGATATGTCACTTTTGCTACTGCTACCAAAACAAGGTAAATATTTTCATCAGATAATTTAAAATATAAACTTGTAGTTTTGCACAATAACGCAAAGTTTGGAAATATGAGATAAATCATTTGATTATGATGATGGAAGCACATAACTTGACAAAACATGGGTCTCGGAACCTTGATTTTTCTAGAAACCTGGAAAGTCAAGGTCGCCACCCGCTGTATTAACTTAATGGCACTTTGTTTTCTCTTCCACATGGCCGTCTGCTCCTGTTCTTTGTTGCCTCTGCCAACAAAGCCATGTGAACTAGTTCCAAGTCCTCAGCAAGGCTGGCATGTTCATCTTTCACTTTTTGTTCCCTAAAAGCCTGTTTTCCTGGCCCTGGGGGGAAGGACAGCTTCAGGGGTTTGGCGTTGACACCAGCTGAAAGGAACTTACAGGCAAGGTGCTGGGGCCTACAGGCCTAGAGGGTGACGGCAGTGACGGTGATGATAATGAGGACACTCTTGAGCCGGGCACAGAGCCAAAGGTTTTATGGGATGCATCGCATTTTACTCTCACGGCAACCCTCAAGTTAGGCATGTACAATCACCATGTGGAAGATGAGAACATTATGGCTTAGAGTTTCGGCAACTTCTCCAGGTTTCACAGCTGGGAAGCGGTGGAGCCGGATTTGAGCCAATCACTGGTGCCAGATCCACCCTCCCCTATGGTGCCATGATATTTAATCTTGGTTGGAATGTTATGACATTGTTTTAACATTTCAAACTTGGTCATAATCCCAAGTTATCGTGGTTGTAGATGAACATGATATTGGCTTTGCTTCTGGGTTGAAATAGAAAAAGTGAACATGTTATATAATGAAAATTATTCTATATTCTTCTACAAAATAATTCTAAAAACTCATGAAAAGTTATTCTCATTTACCTGGAATTGCTCACTTTAATTAAGGGACACTTTTAGCGAGAATTATGTCTGAGTAATCTAAGTCCTCTCCAAACTCAACTCAGTCATGCCTCTGATCCCATTAACTGGTTCCTGGTTCAATAAGACTTTCTTAAATTGGTTCAAGGCACAATTATAGGTGTTTGGTTTCATTAAGGATGAATTTGTGGTCATTCTTTTTAGGCTAAAGAACATTAAACAGACTTCTTTACTGCAGGATTTCTCAGTCTTTAAAATCCTAATATGCATCTTAATTTTCCTAGAAAAAGAAGAGAGATTTCTTAAATTTATTTGGTTTTAGAATGTCTTATGGGACTTGACTTCCATGAAATACACTCTAGGTTAGAGCATAATAGATAGTATTTCTTTTCTTGCTCTTTGAGGGCAGAGCCTTACTTGAGTGACCATGACCACCTCCACAAGCTGTAGTACACCTCCTCTTCTGGCTGTGGTTGCCTAAGAGCCTGAGAAGGAGGTCCCACATCCTCTGCCTGGTGCTGGATACTGTGGCAGAGCTAGGCTGTCTGTGGGGGCAGTTCCTAAGATGTTTCCTGTTGCTGAGTTATATGACAGAGCCAGAAGGGAGTTTGGAACTGTCCGTCCATTGTCTCTATGGCTGGGAATTGTGGGGTCTTCCAGCCTTCCTCTGTCTTTTAGCAAAGATGAGAATGAGAAGGATCCTCAGTTCGGGGTAGGAGGGCGAACCTCCTGCCAACCTTGCATAAATCCACAAGGCTCTGGTATTCACCCCAGGTCTGAGAGAGGTCATGCCAGTTGTTTTCTGTTGACTCATCCATTTTCTACCTTTCTCTGCCCTGCTCTGTTTCTGTGAAGCTGGCCTGTAGGTACTTTATCATCAAGGCTCTCTTGTAGGCAGGGATGGGTTTGACCAGCAGGAGACACCACCAGGACTCAAAGGCAGAAGACACTGCCTCTGTTCCCCTGTGGAGGGGAATGTGGTAACATGCCACTAGGGGGCACTTTTCCAGGTCCCAGTTCTCCTTGGGCTACACTGCCTAGGGGTGGTGACCACTTCCTCCCCTGCTTCCCCTAACCTCACCCACACCTACATTAGTTGTCCCTTCCTGAGACTCTCCTCTCTTAATCAGATCCCAGCAGGCACAATAGAGCTCTGAGCTTCACAGCTCTCCACAAGAGCTCCAAACACAGAGACCCAAGCATTCAATCCAAAGAACAGAGACTCCTCTGTGTATGCAGGATGGGGGACCCTGAGTTCCTCCTGTGTTGCGGGTGACAAGAATTGATTCCACACATTAATACCAGGCAGCAGGTGAGAGATGTCAAAGCTGAGAGACAAGGAATTCTAAAATCTTCATGCTCTACCCTATAAGCAGATTAACAAGGCAATTTATGAAAACAGGAGATTTGACATATGAATGTTATCTTTTTAGTTTTATCTTATGTACCTCTGAAATCTGCATTTTTTTTTCCTTCATTGATATAACTGGTTTACAACACTGTATATGATTTAGGCGAATAGGTTCACACGTCCTCAGGTGTATGTCACCACCCCAGCCCCACCACCCAAGCACCCATAGTCCTTTACCTAGGCTAATGGGCCCCCACTCTTTTTTTGCAGAAGTATTTTTAGAGAACATTCTTAAATGAATATTCTCTTTTATCTCAGAGTTTGGGCCTGCCATAGCCAATGTTCTGAGGATAAGAATAAGAGTCAACATTTCTATTTCTGATAGTCCCCGGGTTCCTCAGCACAAAGGAGAAAGGCAGCTGAGGAATGAAGGAGCGAGCTCCACAACACAGACCAAAGTCAGGGTTCCATTGAGCCAGCTGCACAAGAGGCCTCTTTAAGAACCAGGCCTTTGCCTCTCCTGCCACTCAACTGGATTCCATTCGAGAAACAGCAGAACAAAGCAACCTGCCTGTGGCACTGTGATGTGGGAACTGAAGACTGAAGAAAAGACTCATATCTCCTCTGATTCAAAGACCCACAGAATTCAAAGGCACAGAGATGGATTTCTTCTGAGGTGAGATTTGAAAAGCTGGTTGAGGGAAGGGAAGGAGGAGGAAGGCAGATAATTCTTTGGGAACAGGAGAGCCCCCTGAGAGGTATGGACAGGAGAATGGAACCTTTTTTTGCTCATGTCCCTGCTGGGGCTTCTGACCTCTTGAATCAATGGGTGTGTTTTGAACTGAAAGTGTTAATGAGTCCAATAAAAGAAACTTAATGAACAATAGCAGGATCTTATAGAATGAAAACTCCGACAAGGCTACTGCATTTTCAACATGCTCTTTGTGGGGGGTGAGGGGCACACTATCTTTTCTTTATGTGTCATGGGAACTGACCATCATCATTTAAATCTGGATTATTTTATGCACTGTAAATCTTTTTGATACTATACTTTGTAAAAAAAAAATCCCTCTCCTGGTGGACCATAGCTTTAAACTTTTTGTGTGTGTCTAGGATTAGGAACATTTTAGGGACTTTTGGCATGGAATAAACTGCTTAATGAACATATTTAAAGATAAGAGACCTGCAAATCATGAACAAAACATTTCTTTTAAAGGAATTTCATTCATCTGATATAATCACACAGCAGATAAATATACATGGGGCATTGGCTCTGGGTCAATGGCTAGGGCTATAGACCTGAAAGACAGCAGGCCCAGTCTTCAGGGGTTTATAACTGGTTCCCACCCTGGTGGGGATTGCGCCCCTGTCTCACTCCCATTTCTCTTCCAGACAATGTCAAATTTAAGTGTGTCATGGGAACTGACAATTGCCTGCATGCAGAGAGAATGAAGCATCCTTCCTTTGCCTAAGGTCAGGACAATTCACATTGCAACCTATACCTCAGAGCTCCCTGCAGGATCAGGATGAAGTTATGCCTTAAGATCACATGTTTGCATTATCTGAGATCATAAAACAGAATATTTCCCTAATAAATCACTTTTATGCAAATCCTCACCTTCAGATCTGCTTCTGGGGAACCTAATCCAAGACCCTTCCTGGGAAGATATATGCTGTGGTGGTGACTGGGGTGTGTGTATGTGACCTTGCACTCTTTGTGTTAAGTTACAATTTCATAAGCTGCTTCTTTGCATGTTTACCCTAGACACACACATCCCAGTGGCTTACGTTTTCTTCCAGGGAAGTCAGCTGCTCATCCAGTCTCACTTGGTCTGTCCCCAGAGGAAACATCCCTTTCTCTCTGTCAGGAGGGACAGGTGGGCACTCCCAGGGACCCGCAGACTCAGCTAGCAACTCCTCGGTGGCATTGATGACTTTCAGGACTTCTGTGGAGATGTTGCAGAGAGAAACAGCAGAATACTTCTGTTTGGTCCAATGACAGAAGGGGACAGAAGACAAGAACAGCACATTAACAATGACATGGAAATTCTACATTATCATGGTGCTATCATGAGATCGATTCCATTATAACACACAGAACAAACATCAGTGTGCTGAAGGCATGAAAAGTTACAAGGGCTACACATGGGAGGGAGCTTAATGGACCTTCATGGAGAACTGGTTTGATTTGCCCCAGCTTCTCTGACTCACAATGAATGATCAGATTCTTGGGAGGAAGGAAGGAGAGGTCAGGTTGAAGCTACGAAGTCCTCTGCTCATTGCTGATAGTTTTATATCCATCACCATGCTGAGTGGCCTGTCATGGAGACCAGGGCTGTCTGAGGCCCTGGGTTTCTTCCTACCTCTGCTCCATATTGTTTAGCCATCACAGACAGGGTTTGTAAATTGGAAGCCAGATATGGCCCACAGGCATGGGATTTTGGTTTTGGTTTTTGACCAGTAAAATGATTCCAAGAAACCTGGAATTTTAATGCCTTTGATACTTTCTAAGGTACCTATCTGACTCATCTATCCTGCCTAAAACACCCATGTAGCTAGGGCTGGGCATTACAAAGTTAGTTCCTCCGAGTGATTCTTCTGCACTTTTGTCTCACAAAAGCATGTTTTCGCCAGCCTTCCCACTTCACTAGAGAATCAGAGTGTCTCAGTGACAAGACTGGGGCTGAGTCCACAGTCCAGAGCTGGCTCTGGGCTAGCATGCTCGGGCACACAGCCTCCGAGCTGCCAGCCCATCAGAGGGTCACGGAGTGCTCTGCCCAGCCCATCTATTCTACAATAGCTGCTTGACTGGCCACAGTTCTTTTGATTCAGGAAACCGAAAAAAAAAAAAAAAAGGATCTGGGCTTTCAGAAGAATAGGATGGGTGTGAGGTGACAGAGACCCAACAGAATAAGGGCAGAGCACAAGAGAGCAGCCAGGGCTAACTCTTGACCTTTAGAGAAAGTCATAGAGGCCGCCCCCATGCTCCAGGGCCCTATAACTCCGTGTGGCAGATTTTGGAAATGAATTAGACTCACAATTATTTTGGCATAAAGCAGCTGCTACTATTTGCTTGATTCCATTTTTAAAAAAAGGCAACGTTACATGGCTAAAAGCAGATTTGTTACCCTTCCCTTAGTAAATAAAACATGTATTTAGAGAATACATGTCTTATTTGGTAGAAGAGGTACTTTGGCTTGTCTTTTGAAAAGAGAGACCTATGTCTAAGAGATTAAAAAAAAAAAAAAGGTAGAGACAGCACAGTGGAAGGAAAGGTGTGCAAATGTACACAAATCTCCGAGGCCAGGGTCAGGAGGGGGCCAAGGTTATTAACGGGAAGGACTTAAGATGTGCTTCAACAGAGTTGTCTGCAGCCTGATTCCCACTGGACATAAAATATCCAAGCCACATGTTAATGTTGCCTGGCGGCCACTGTTCCACTCTATCCATAGCCTTGTTGACTCAGTCACAGGAGTTGCAGCCTGGAAATCAAATATAGGCCAGAGGCATTTTTTTTTTTTAATAAAATGCCTCCTGTGGGATACACATTTCTCAGTTCTCTGTCATCCCTGCCATTTATTCTACATATTTTGAGGGCCTAGAGTGTGCAGTCAGTTATAGTTGCTGAGATTAGGCTGCAGATAACGAATGAAGCCTTGCCTCTTAGCCTGACCCAAGCCACGTGACATGCTGATGCACTCTCCTGGCTCCTGAAGCACTTGCATTTGCCATTAGGGCAGGGTGAGGAGTCCTGGCAGCTGTCCGTGGAGAGCACTACAGCTTTTCCTGGAAGGTCTGTGGTCTGGTTAAAGACCTGAGCCACTTCAGAAGGGAACTAGACTCCAGCTGGGAGAAATGACTGAAAAAAATCACATGAAAACTGAACAGGTTCTCATTTATTGGTGTCCCAGTTTTGTTCTCTACTGGGAAACACAAAATGGACTGACAGGCACAGGGAGGGGATTAATCCCATCTGGAGAGAACCAAGAGTTTCTTGTCTGTCACCTAGGAATGAATGGGCTGTTTGCTCAGAGGAGGGGGTGGGAGTGGACAGTGAACCTACTGGGAGTTACAATAACTGGGCTTTAGTTAGCTGTAGGTAGGAGGACACCTAACCTCCCTGTGCCTCAGTTTATTTACTGGCCTGATGAACAGGATTAGATTTGTTACAGGGCTGACAGTGACTTGCTATGTAAATGTTCTGTTCCCTGCCCAGTCCAGATTTGAAAGTACAAATTCTACAGTTAGGTTAAATAAAGCTATATTTAGCACTGGACAGGGTTTTGTTTAGATCAAAAGCTGGTGGGGACTTAGGGGTGCTGGCAGGGAGCCCCGTGTGAGGGAGAAATGAAAAGCTAGAGGATTCTTTTGTTTCTATTGCTTACAGCTCCAGACAGGAGCTGAATGGCACAAACAGAGCACGACAGAGAGCCAGAGAGAGCTCTCGATTCAGTGAACAGCATAACTCCAAATGTTAACTATAAGATGGATCACATGTGACAGTTTATTGGCATCAAGGAAGGAGAGGTGGAAGTGGAGAAGCTCTACTGTTACAGTGCAGGGCAGTTGACCTCAAGGGCACTGGTAGTTGAGGAACCCATAGAAGAGGGAATGAAAATGGCCAATGAGCCCACACAGTAGGAAACTGAACCTCCTAGGGATCAAAGAAATACAAATTAAACAACAAATTTTATTACATGCCAGATCCACCGTGATTCCCTTTGGAAAAGCTCTGTGTAGGCCATGTTTGCAAGTGGAAAATACTTTCACTCATTGACCCACCAGGGGCTGTGTCTGCTCTGGTGCATGTCCTTAGACTCCTGACCACATGGTCACTGTTGAGTCCCTGAGTGTCCACTTCTAGAGTTTGGTCTGTGTCACAGCCCCACCGGGAACTCACATCCCTGTCAATTTCACAAACACAGGGGCTGGAAGCCAACAGTGCACACGAGGGTGCAGTGTTCCCCATCACCCACGAGTGAGACAGTGAGCAAGCGTCATCCTTTACGCTGACGCAGGCGTCCTGCCTAAGTCTGACCATTGAGAGGACGGTGACTTCAGCAAACCTTCCAGACAGTTATGTGCCATGCTGAGGTTGGGGCTCTGCCACACTGGACCCAAGAAAGACAACCAGACTATAAATCCCATGTCACAAATCCCAGCTGCATTGTTTCTTCTTTCTAGCGACCACAGTGCAGAGCAAGACTTCACTAGCATTTTGTCTCACTATCCCCAAGCCGTATGTAGCCTTAACAGTCTCTCTATCCTGTCCCCAAGTGCTTTCTCTTCCTTTAAGACAAGTTGCTAGAAGCATATTCTCCCTCCATTTGCTCTTCCTTATAAACTGTTTTCCCAAGAATGCAAAGTGTTGGCAGAGGGGAGATTTTGAGTCTAAAGAATTTTAAAGAATATTTTTTTAAAGATTTATCTATTTATGCATACAAGAGCTGGGGTACAGGCCAGAGGTGTGGGGTGAGCGAATGATTCACCAGAGACAGAGTGGGGGACAGAACAGGCAGAATGACTGAAATATACTGCTGAGGGGAGGAGCTGGCAAGTCAGGAGAGGTCTGCTGCGCCATATGGGTTTCTCTCTGGCTGGCCGGGGAATGAACTTATGCTGCAGAGGCTGTGGATCACTTTATAGTGTGGTGCTCAACCCCTTGCACCACCAGGGAGGCCCAAGAAGAAAATATTTTTATTCTAAACCCTAAGTATACCTGTCGAGTAGCAATCTTTGCAAATTCTCCTGAGATTTTTTTTCCGTGTCATCCCTTATTACAAAGCTTTGTGCTGGACAAAGAAACACAAACTCATTTGGAGCTGGAGTAAACAGGAATGCTCTTTACCAGAATATCTCAAGCTCGTGAACATGTGAGCAGCAGGAGCTCATTAGATGCCGGCTTAACAAAAAAAGAACACTGTGGAACCGCGAGAGCTGATTCCAGCCCTAGCTCTCAACCCTTGGGCCCGTGCACGTGAGTCTGCCTGTCTCAGCTGGGCCAAAACAGACACAGCGCCTGCCTGCTTGTATTGCACTAGGCCTGGCGTATCTATTTATGTGACTTGATGGATGATAAATTTTGATATGGTATAATCTAATATAATGTGGGGGAAAGTTTTGAGAATTCAAGGATGTGTTCAGATATGTGGAGCAGAAGAGGAATTTTCCTAGCTCTACTTGGAGAATGTTCTGATGCCTATAACACCACCAAAAAGGCTAAAAGGAGGTTGAAGCTGAAGGGACATCGATAGTCTTGTTTTTATGAGCTGCGGAAACAAGCAGTGAGTGTCCAGGCCCATGGGTCACTCCATGAAGCAGGGAGGGGCAGTGGCAAGGGGCTGCCCCTCAGGGGTCTTGCAAAGGGCCTTCTTGCCCATCAGGCACAGCAGGTTTGGAGCCTAGTGCCTACCATTCTTTTAGGGATGGATGGAATTATTTTATTTTAAAATTGAAAGAAAAAAAAGCACTCTTAGGTCCAGGAACATGTTTTAATACGTTAACATATTAACATTCATAGCACACAGTTATAAACTGTGACCTTTAAATGTTTTTATGGAGAAGGCGCCCATGAAGCACTGGGGTTTGGGTCCTTAAAAGTCACTTATTGGCCCTGGTCTTGCTGATCCAGAGCCTGATCCAGAGACACTGGTCAGCTTGGCTCTTAGGGTAGATTGGGCAGCAGTGGCCTGTCCTCCAAGGGCTTCCTCCCCAGACAGCAGTAAGGGTTCTAAGCATGAACACGTGGGGGAACCTTTCCTCAGGACTCCTCCAATAATGGAAGAGATGGGGTGTGTGTATGTGTGTGTGTGTGTGTGTGTGTGTGATATTGTCCTCTCCCAGTGGGGACTGATGCTAGCATGACCACCTCATTGCACACACCAGACCACGAGGCATTGGGAATTCAGGTTATACTGTCTGGCTTTGGGCAAATAACCTCTCTGAGCCTCAGCTGTGAAACAGAGATCACACCATGGAGTTCA